AGGATCCTTCTATCTTGTTGCTCTGCCACTCTTCATCCACATGGCTGTCAGGTCCACCTTCCAGCCAATGGGAAAGTAAAAGGGAAGAGGAGGGCATGATCCTTCCCTTTAAGAGCAGGGCTAGGAAACTATACATTTTATATCTGCTTACATCCCATTGGCTAGAAGCTAGCCTCCTGGCCACACCTTCCTACAAGGGAGGCTGGGAAATGTAGTCTTTAACTGTTAGCCAAATTCCTAGCTAAGAATTCTATTACTGGGTAAGAAGAAGAGGGGAGAATGGATACTGATTGAACAATTAGCAGCCATATAGTTAAATCATTATGATACAACAGTGCAATCTGTTTGCAAAAAAGTCTTGGGCAATATTATAGTCCATTGATAGAAGTATACGTATCTTCTAGAAAAGGAATTGGTAAACTTTTTCCAAAAAAGGCCAAGTATTTTCAACTTTGCAGGTCATATATGGTCTCTGTTGAAAATTCTTTTCTGTTTTTGTTTTTTGCAGTCTTTTAAAAATGTCAAAACCATTGTTAGTTCCCAACTATAAAAAAATAGGCTTCACTGAGGGCTACAGTTTGCCAACTCCTATTCTAGAACAAAGATGGTGATGAGTCTGGGATCACACCTTTTGGTGTACAAGAATGTGTTCAGGGAAGGTGATCAGGATGGCAACGGGACTCTGGATGAATTCACAAGAGCAATAATTGAAGGCGTTGGTTACTTTTAGTGTAGAGAAGCTAAGACTCTTGGTGACATGATCATCGTCTTCACATATTTGAAGGACAGTCATGTGGTTAGGAGACTCTTGTTCTGTATGTATCCAAATGGAAGAACTACAATCAGTGAGAGGATGCTCTGGGAGGCAGACCGCAGCCCAGCATAAGGAATGACTTTCTCATTATTAGTTATCACTTATGGAGCCCTTATTGCCAGCCACTGTGCTAAGCACTTTACATAGATGGTCTCCCTTTATCCTCAACAACCCCATCAGGTAAGTACCATTCTTAGCTCTACTTTAAAGATGAGACAAAGCAGCATTAGAAAGTTAAATAATTTGCCCAGGGTTACATGCTCCAAAGTGATGGAGCCATAATAACTACAATTCTCTACTGATTACTTGCATGCAAATTAAATAACTTAGTGCCAGGCACATAGTAAGTATTGTTTCTGGTAATAATAATTATAATCCCTAGGAAGTACTATGTGTCTCATCATGGTGGTTGTATTACTTTCCTATGGGTACTGTAACAAATGACCACAAACTTTGTGGCTTAAAATAACATATTTCTTTGCTTGGAGTTCTGGAGGCCAGAAATCTGGAATCAGCTTCACTGGGCTGAGATCAAGGTGTCAGCAGGGCTGTGCTCCCTCCAGAGGCTCTAGGCGACAATCTGTTGCTTGCCTCTTCCAGCTTCTGGTGGCTTCCGAGTTTCCTTGGCTTGTGGCCACATCATGCCAATCTCAGCCTCTGTGGTCACACTGCCTTCTCCTGTTCCGCTCTTTGCCTCTCTGTTATAGGATACTTGTGATTACATTTAGGGCCCTCCCAGATAATTCAGGATAATCTCCCCATCTCAAGAGCCTTAAATTAATCACGCCTTTTGCCATATAAGGTAATATTCACAGTTTCCAGACATTAGGAAGTAGATGTCTTTGGGGGCCGTTATTTAGCCTATCGTAATGGTATTTAAGCATAGGCTGGATAATGACATTTTTTTCTTTCCACAATTAGAAAAAAACTTTATAAATTCTGTCATTTATTGGTCAATCACAACATCTGTTTTTCCTTGAGGTATTTTTTTTGGTATGTGGAAATAGAATATATTTGGTGTAAGGTATGAGTTAGAAGTAATGCTTAATTTTTTTCAAATAGCCACAGTTTGACACTATTTATTGAAGGATACATTCTTTCCCCCACTGATGTAAAATTCAGTTTTTATCACTTACCTTTCACATAGCAAACACTATACTTGAACCGGTTTCTTGACTTTGTTCAGTTCCATCAGTCCATTTTGTAAGTTTCTGCAATTGTGCTATACTGTTTTATTTACTGTAGCATTGAAGTACATATTTATTGATAAATAGATAAATTGAGCCCCCTCTATTATTCTCCAATTTTCTTGGCTAATGGCTCTTCTACTGTTTTCTTTGTCATTGTATATCTCAACTTAAAAAAATTTCTTATTATCCTTTTAATATGGTCTTGAGAAGAGAGGAGATAGATGAAATTGTAATTATTTGCCTTCCATAATGGTCTTCCTCCCTACTTTTTATTCTAGTGATTTTACTTACCCATCTCCACTGAGATTTTCGAAATTTTTTGTTGAAATCATATGGAAGTTCAATTCCAGATATATATCTTACATTTCAAAACTTCTTGCTAACAACTAAACTTTACAACCTCATTTTTATTTTTATACGTAACCATATATTAATATTATTGGCTTTCTTTTGCATTACATTTTCTTATATAACATATCCTCTCCTTTCTTGAGTTCATTATTTTGGCTTATTTTTTCCCTTGGCTGGAACCAATCTTCAAATGTTCTTTTCTTTTATTATTATTTAATAAAGGGTATTCGGGTGAGGTAATTTCTGTATCTTTGAACATGCCTTTCTTTTGTCGTCACACAGGAGAGAAATTATAGTTTGGCAGCTGGTAAAATTCTTGAGTTACATTAATATTCCCTTAGGATTCTATAAAAATTGTGCCACTGTCTTTTAGTGTTGTGTTGCAGATGAGAAGTATGACGTCAGTCTGATTTTCTTTCCTTTTAAGCAGCCTGATTTTTCTTCCCTATTATGAAGCTTGTGGTTGTTTCTCTGTTCTTGGAGCATCAGACTACATCTAGAATTGTGTATTCTTTCAGTGATCCTGCTGCCCAGCACTCAGTAGACCCATGTGACCTAAGGCCTAAAGTCTTCCTACAGTTTAAGGAAATGCTTTTCTATTTCTTCCTTGATTATTGCATTTCCTCTTCATTAACGATGTTATCTGCTTCTGGAACTCCTGTTAGACTAATAGTGGATCTCTGGATCTCTTTGTATATCTTGTGTCTTATTTGATTATTTAAATCTCTTTTTCTTCTTCTGCTTTGGTTTGTTTGCTTGTTTTTTGTGGCGTCCCCCAATGATCTGAAGTCCTGCCCCTATTCATCCTTCCACTTCTACTCATATTAGGGACACACCTGCCACTTTCCAGAGATTCTGTGGAATACCTGCCATCCTCTGTGGAGAGAGCCAGTCTAGTTCCTGACGTCCTTTAATTTGCTTCTGAACTGATGCCCATGACCCTTATCAAATCTCTGATCTTCTGGGCTTGGGATTTTCCAGGACCATTTTCTGGAAAACGGTGCACTTTCTTCTTAGGTGGTCGGTGCAGAGTCAGGAGCTTATCATCACAAGTCAGCTTTTCCTCACCCACATCTCATCTGCTTTATATCTTCCCTGTGTTCTTCAAAATGTCAGCCTCATTGGTGGCATTTTTCTCTGGTTCCCGGCACTGCCACTGATGCTTTGGTCATATAAATGTTGTTGTGGTGTTGTTTTGGAGGAGTAGTGGGGAGTAGATGTATGAGCCCAGTTTACCGTCCCTGAAACCAAAAGCCCCAGAGTGGAGATAGGAGGGGGAAATGGAGCATCATATGGATGGCGGGACCAAGTGACCTTTCAGCCTCATCTCCCTCTGGGAGGCTTTTCTCTAAAGTCTAAAGAATAAAGCAGCATAATTAAAGGTTTGAGAAACAACTTTCACAAAAAGGTCCAGAGATAGGGTTTAATTTAGTTAGGAGGACAGAATGAGGTGAGACTTAAATGGTGAGTCACATGAAACCTGCTGAAGATACAGCAGGAGGGACTCAGCTTAAATTACAGCCAAAGTGATTCACGTTGGTCACTACAAAGACCATTTAACTCTTCACAACTTGCGTGGCATCCCAAGGCTTTGCAAAGCCAAGTGAAGAAGCCTCCTTCGCTGGTGAGTTTTCTGGAGGTTTAAGAGCTGTTCTGTTTAAGGGAAGAGGATGGACTGAATCACCTTCAAGATTCCCTGACAGCCCTGGGATATTAGGATTATGATACCTCGGTGCATGCATGTGATCTTAGATGGGGAATAAAGAGCAGCAGTAGATAAACTCCTAAGGGTAAAAAATCTGGTTTCACCCAGCCTTACTGATTATTATTTTTTTAATGTGAGGAGAGACTGTTTTTGTCAGGAGCACTTTCTCCCAATCTTTAAAACCGAATGGAGACATCTTTAGTTTCTTCCCCAACATGCTGGGAAGAACAGGAATTTCAGCGGCTCCCTCTCTCCCTGCAGTTGGAGCTAGCTCCAGCTCCAGCATGGCTGGAGACTCCCTCCACGTCCCCTGGCGGTCCCTTCCCCCAGCTGGGGACAGAGAGAGAAGCAGCAAGAGGGCGTGGGGCTGGACCAGGGAGAGGAGTGACAGGCTGCGTGTGGAAGGTCTGCACCTTGTCACAGAACCTCCTGGGCTCAGGTCTGTGGTGGCCGCCGGAGAGCCAGTTCCAAGCTGTGTGGCTGGTGACATTTCCGGCTGCCAGTGCCCAGCCAATCAGTGACAGGCCCAGCTAGCTGGGACGATGACACATGAAATATGATAATTTTCTGCTAAAGAGCCCTGGAAGGAGGGAGAGAAGAGAGAGAGGGAGTTGTGTGTGTGTGCATGTGGCAGGGAGAGGGTAGGGCAGGCAGCACCTGCGACAAGGTGGGAGGGCGGCAGTGCATTGGTTTCAGTGGTATGCCAAGAGAAGGAATGGGCTCTGAGGCTAGGGCTGGAGGGAAAAATGCCCCAGGGAGTGGGGAGTCTCAGGGGTGCTCCCCAGGCAAGCTCTGCAGCTGTTGCCGGGTGGGACCTGGGGGTGGGGGGGGAAGCAGCCAGCGCCATTCTGAAGCTCTGGGGCTCCTGGGGTGGGAAAGAGGCTGTAAAAGGCCTTTTCCTTCCTTCCAAACATCAGTGAGGTTAGGAGTTTTGCTTTCTTCTCAGTGCTACCTCTTTAAAAGCAAAAAGAAAACTGGAATAAACACCCGCTGGGTGGCTGAAGTACTTAACGAATAATTTTTTTAAAAACATTTGGGCTGGGGGGAAGTTTATCCCCTCCCCACTGCATTTTTCTACCTTCATGCTCAACCTAGCCGTGGGAAAAAAAAGGAAACAAAACCGTCCTGTTAACAAAATCTTGAAGAAGGGCCTCCGTCTGAATCTTAGAGTCTCAAAGGCTTCAGGAGAGAGTTTTGGTTCTAGATTCTGGTTGGAAAAAAAAAAAGTGTCTTGGAAAAAGATGTGGTCCTAGATTGCATTATAATTGAGTAGTAAGGCCCGAAGGATTCTTTAGTTTGAGGACATGGCACCGGAGGCTGGGGTGAGGAGTGCCTTGTGGTTAACTCTGAGGTGGCAGAGGTCCCCGCTTCCTTCAGCCGCCTTGGCAGGCTTCCTGGTCCTTTATCAGCAGTTAGGGGTGACACTGGTGCTGACAAGCCTCTTCTGTGTTGTCTGACCCGGTGAACAAGTGTGTTGAGAAGTGAAGGGTCATAGTGTTTACATAATATGCTGATTAGTCACTGAGGAACACATTGGTGCAATAAATGTGTGCCTAGTTTTACGCCTTGCATTTACATTCTCTTTCTCTCTCTCTCCATGCAATTTTTTAAAGGCACCGATAAATGAAATCATTATCATTGCCTGCAAGCCTGCCCTGGCTTTAGGCAGGCGACTGGCTTCCTGCGCTGGGAATGATAGCGATTCAGAAGTGATAATTGGTGTACTGTATCTTTAAAAGGTTAAAACCCCTTTCAAAAAAGGTCTGGACTCATAGTGGAAAAGAGAAGCAAGGCATGGGTTGGCTCTGGGTTCGGAAAACAGCTGCTGATTAGATTCTGTGTCTGCGGGCTGAATTTATTCCGTGTTTTTCAGCAGCAGGAATTCAAGAGGGATGCTACTGTTTGGGTTTCTGATCGTGATTTATATTTATTCAGAGGAATAACAGAGGGTGGATCTGTTCCTGGCGCGAGCATGCTCACAACCAGCCGACTCTCCCATTATCCAACTGCCTAGTTTGGTGCCTCAATGTACATGTATATTCCGTGTGCCTATGTGTGTATACAAACACGCATGCATGCCTGGATGGACATATGTGTGCACAGGTTATTTTTTAAGGACAATTCTTTCAATAAGGTCTTTACCCCTTACTTGAAACAGGTGTTCATGAAAAAATGCACAAAATCCTGACTGGCCGGAATAATTCATGAAGAAGGGGCTGGATCCGTGGGTCAGAGAACACAGGACCAGTTTGCCATCCCAAGGCCGAAGGTAGGGGACTCTGGATTTTTATTCGGCGATGGATTCCTTGTGCTTTATTTTATTTATTGTGTTTTTGCCTGCGGCCGCCCCGGGGAAGTGGGATGGCGAGCTGCGATTCCATTTTGTCGTTGCCTTTCTTGGGCAAGGTGTCCGGTTGCAGAGGCGCAGGGGCCGGCCTGCAGGGTGGGCGGCCGCGCGGCGTGCGGTGCCCTCGGTGGGCTGAGCTGGCTGCCCGGCCTGGTGCTGGGGGAGCGGCGCGAGCCTCAAGTGACCCCCGCGTGTCAATCACCGCGGCAGCGGCTGTAACCCTGTGCGCGCCGCGCGCTCCTGCTCTCTAGCTGGCAGCCGGTCGGCACCGGCGCACTGGCGACCGGGCTCTCTAATGAGCCCCAGCTGTCGGGCAAACGCCTCGCCTCCTGCAGCACCTGCATTTTCTTCCGCTGCCCTGGCTGATGCTCCGGGATTGTTGAGGCCGTTCGTTGCCGGCTGGCTGAGAGTGAGATTGGGAGGATGCTGGGTGCAAGGCAGAAGGCAGCTGTTTCCCTTCGCCCCTTATTCCTAGTCCCCTAAAAATGTATCTGAAGCAAAATCACAACCTCCCTCTCCTCCAAACACGAAACAAAACAAAAACCAAACTCCTACTCCGTTGGGGCTTCTTGCCTTTCCGCTAGCAAAGCCGGTGCCCCTTGTCCAAGTTATGCCCCACATTTTGCCATCTTTTAAAATTGGAAACACTGATGGTGTTGAGTGGCCCCTGCTGAGACTGTGTGGGCTGTCTGAGGACTCCTGAGCCGGGAGGACAAGCTGACCCGCGTAGACTTGGACAGGAGACGCGGTCTAGAGGGACTGGGAGGCCAGGCGTTGGTTTCGCTGATCGCTGCTGCTTTGGTTTACGCTGCGGCTTGCAGGTCGGGACCACTTCTGTGGCTCAGCCCTCCCTTGAGCTTTGGGGGCAGTGGTTGCAGGCAGTAGGGTCTGCGGAGTCTGATGGCCTGGTGAGCAGCACCTTGGCCCTCTTTCTGCGGCGCACCCTCAAGTTTCTTGTAGCCTTTGGCACTGTAACCGCAGCAGCCAGGTCTGCCCCGCCTCCAGCCACATCGTGTGCTTTGGTTATTTTAAAACTGGCTTGCTTTCTGGGTGATAGGGGGTGGGAGGGGCGGGGCGGGGATGAAGTGTGCGCGGGACTGATCACCGAACGTTCTCCTGTCCTTGTTTGTGTCATTATGTAACCTCAGCTGATGATCAGACCGTGCGCCCGAGCAGCTCCCACCATCTCCCGGTCCTCCCCCGGACTGAAGAAGTTGGGTCCCACGTTTAAGATGTTTTTATGTAACTATGTGTATGCTGGGGGCAGGGAGGGTGTGGGGAAGAGGAGGAATAATCTGAGCAACTCATGTGAAGAACACCGGGGCAAAGATCATGCATCCATTGGGGACAGCGTGGTGGCTTTGGGTTGGTATTGATCGGAAGACTCTCCTACATCCATTTCAGCCAGTGATTGCTTGTCTGAACTTACATTTGGTCATTTCACCCCTCATGAACACTGGAGAAGGTTGGAGGCACCCCTGCTGAGCCCCAGGGTGGCCGCCCAGGCTCACTGGTTTTAGGTCCCAGCTATTCTTCATGCTTCCCACTGAGGCGAAGAGTTTCTGCCCAGCTAGGATTTCAGTTTTGTTGTGGGGTTGGACTTTGCTGTGGGGCTGAAGAGTGGACCTCAGATGCTGCCTGAGTTGCTTGTCATATGCTGTTTAAAGCTGTGATGACTTGCAGAGGCTGGAGGCCCTGTACATTCTTGCCTTAAAATACTGTGGGATTTTTTTGCAAGGTAGAGGAACGGCTGTCCCACCAAGATATCTGCAGGCAGGAGGGGAGGGTGTGTGTGACGCTTAGCTCTCTCTCTTTCCTCCCAATTCTGTCTTTAGCTAAGGCACCCACAGGACACAGAATTGTCACCTGAGGCCTCTTTATCACACCCCTCAGTGCCTCAGCCTGGGGCGTCTGGGTGGACTTGTTAATTTGGTGGGGAAATCTGGCCCCTCCAGGCTAAGATTGTTTTCTTGCAGTCAGCACCCCGGTGGGTCTATTTTAAGGGCCCACTACTAAGGTGTACGCGTGGCAGTGAATCAAGATGCACTCACAGGCACTGTGGTTGTCTTGTCTCCAGTCATTGTGTTTCAGTGGCAGCCACCCTCCTTGGAGTGGAGAAGTGTGTGCTGCCTTTGGGTTCTTGCCAAGTGAGCCATTGAGGCATTTAGCGTGTGAAAGGTACAAGCAAGAGGAAGATGCATTTAGTCTGAAGTCCTGGCAAATTCCAGGCCCCGACTTGATGGAAGATAACGTTAAGAAAGCTGTGTGACAACTGGATAGCTTTTCACCTGTCTCTCATTTCCTGCTCTGTGAGTTCCTTGAGGTCTCTCAGGTTCTTTTCTGCTCTCCGTGCTGCCCATCAAGGAGGCCCTGGCGTGCTGTTCCCCATTCGATTCTGTTGGAATCAAGGCATGTTTACAAATCTACAGAAGCCCTGGGCAGCCAGGGTGGGAAACACTGGCTATGTGAACAGGCAGCCCTGGTGTTTCGGGCCAGACTTGGCCAAAGCCCTTGACCGATGTTCTTCTTCATCTGTAAAGTGGGTATAATCCTCATAGCCTTACCAAGCCCCCCAAGTAAGTATCTTGAGAAGAAATGAACTGGGCTAAGAAGTGGCATGTGCTCTGTAGCTGTTGGGTATTAGCATAATGCCACAGCAATCTGGAACTCACATTTACACAATTTCACTTCTCCTGTGGGGCCCTGAGTGGCAACTCAAATCATGAGCTACAGTTCTGGTATTTTGATCATTGCAGAAAACTTCATACCATTTTCCAGACTCTTCATTTGCGTAAAGTTCTAAGGGGCTTGGCTATTAGTTTGCCAAATACACTAGCAAATTGGAAGAGATTGATATAGTACTGCACAGGGATTGTTAAAGTTCTCTTGTCAAATATCAGTGAGAAGTACTAATTTAAGAAACAGAATAACTAAAAAAAAATTAAATTTAAATTTAAAAGGCAAAAGAATTCAAAGCATAGAATTTTAAGACTATTCAATGTAAATATTTAATGTAAACGAGTCAATGAAATTTTATATATTTTGATGGATCTTCAGGACTCTATTTTGTAGCAAAATAACTGATGCTCACAATGACCCAGATGCCTCAAGAGCAGTTTAAATGACATTTTGTGTGTCCAATTTAAAAAGGCACGAGAATTTGAAGTATACCCCCCAATTTTTTTTTTCTAGCCTGATACTTAAAGGAAAAACTGCATTTGTGCAGGATAACAGAACCTCTGAGGTTTCTGGACAGCCAAGAGCTTACTGATAAAAATTATATTAACTAAAAAGCCCTCCTGTTGAATTAATTGAGAACTTTACGATCTGCTGAAACGGCAGGGAACTGTTATGCTGGTATTCGTAGCGCTTGTGTGCTAACATTGGATGCTCCAGACTCTTCTGAGAAGGAAACATGCAAATCTCAACCTGTCTTGTTGTGAGCCGCAGACAAACTTCAAGCTTTCCAACTTGGCGACGCCAGCCTGGCTGCAGTTGGAAGAGATCCGATTATAGAAAAGATGAAGCCGCAGAGGTCAACCCTAGTGGCATGTGTTTCTTACGTCAGCATAGGGAATGTGGACTCCCCACCACCACAGTGCTGTTAAAACTCTTGTCAGAAAAACGAGTTCAGGATGTCATGGCAACACCCTCATGCTAAGCTGTGGTGTTTACTCAATTCAGACATTGTGCTCACAATTGGAAGGATGTCTGAGTTCCGCGAGCAGCGCTGAGCTTTACCTGACCCGCTGCTGATTCGCTTAGTTACAGTTTAGTCCAAAACAAAGACACAAGGAAAAACAAAAGTAGAGGAAAAAGAATGCTGACACTTTCTAAAGAGTATTTCTAAATTCAGTGCGTATGCGGAAGATGTGAAGACCCTAATTAAAAGTAGCAGAAGGGTATTGCTTGGTTTCAAGATGCACGTAAATTCATTGTTTTGGCAAATTATTTGAAGAAATTTTTTAACTTGCTAAAAGAAACTGTCAATAACAGGTAATTGAATATGATCAGAAATGGTCAAAACTGTCCAAAGGTTCTATGTCTATAGCAGAAGGATACTGATGTAATAAGATGGAGAGAAAAGTTTTCTCTGGAATCCCAGGGGGCTTGGAAGGCGGTGGAGGTAGGGGTTGGTGGCTGAACCACACTCTCCAGAGGGCTGCCCTTTTGGGAGGGTCACATCTGGGAAAATGTGCTTGGTTTGTAGATTTGGCCCATTGATGAAAGCCAAGCGTGCATGAATGATGTGGTTCCTCTCCTCATTACTGAGTGTTACAAAATACCAGGTGTGGCTGGATGCTTGTGATAAAAGGAGAAGGGTGGAGCTTTCCATCTAGATGTGCAGGAGAGGGAAACTGAGAATGCCAAACTGAGAATGCCCCTCCGATTTGAAGAGTGAAGCCGGGGAGAAGCATAGGGATGTTAGTCTTGGGAATCTTGGGAACTCTCTGAATGTCCTTGAATTGGGGTTCAGGGCCAACTTATCAAAAAAATGAGTAATGTATACATGACTGGGATCCAAAGAAAAGCCAATAAACCAATAAAAGAAAGAGATGAAAAAAATAAAAGCAATGTTATAAATACATGACATGTTCTGTTGAGCCTCTGTCACCAAAGTTAGTCTATTCAGTCATTCATTGGACTTCCAGGCTCCCGTTGGATGCTGGAGCTATCTTAAGATCACAGGAGCCCTGATAAAAATGAACTGATTTAATCTTAATAGAAGTAGAATTCTGAAAACCTCTTCAATCAATATTCAATGCAGTAGACCCTTGACATTCTGTATGGATGCATCTCAAACCCTTGGCAAATCCCCAAACTTGCAAATACAGAAGTATTTGCATAGGCTTTTGACTTCCTTCTGCGTCAGGTTCTGTCCAGAGAGGAGAGGTTCCCATGATTATTCACAGGCCATCAAT